CTCTCTCTGGGTTGGAATATAAATTCCTTGATAGCAGAGCTTCTGCCGTTTTGTTTACTGCTGTATCCCCAGCATCTTGAACAATCCATGGAACACAGTGTTTCATAAATACCTATAGCCTGACTCTCTCTTCTGAAACCTTCCTTGGCTCCTTACTGCTTTTAGGATGGGCTTTCTGCTTTAGCTGAGCATTTCAGGAGTACAGCAGTGGAGCCACCCCAGCCCTCCAACTTTATTTCCTTCTTTTGTTTACAGCCAACTCTCTTCCAGGGTAAGAAAGAATGCTGGGGGTTTTTTGGGTTTTTTTTTTTTTAGTTTTTGGTGTACAAAACAAGATATTGATTCAACATTTACCTTTTACACACCTCACAAAATGATAACCCCAAGTCTACTACCCATCTGATACATACATCACTATTATAATACCATTGACTATACACCCTATGCTGTACTTTACACCCCATGAATCTATCTATCTATCTATCTATCTATCTATCTATCTATCTATATATATATATATATAGAGAGAGAGAGAGAGAGAGAAAGAGAGAGAGATATGATATAGATAGAGATAGAGACAGAGATAGAGATATATAAATATATAGATTTAGATAGAGATATATAGATATATTTATAATTGACATTCAGTATTATTTTGTATTACTTTCAGGTGTACAGTATAGTGGTAAGTCATTTATAAAATTTATGAAGTGATCACACCAATAAGTCTAGTACCCATCTGATACCATAAACAGTTATTACAATATTATTGACTATATTCCCTATACTGCATCTCACAACCCTGTGACTATTTTGTGACTATGCGTTTATACTGCCTAATCTCTCACTTTTCTCACCCATCTCCCTATCCCTTCTCCCATCTAGCAACCATCAGTTTGTTCTCTGTATCTATGAGTCTATTTTTGTTTTGTTTGTTTGTTTATTCTGTTCTTTAGATTCCAGATATAAGCAAAATTACATTGCATCTGTTTTTTGCTGTCTGGCATACTTCATTCACCACAATACTCTCCAGGTCCATCCATGACACTGCAGATGGCAAGAACCCATTCCATTCCCTGGCCAAGCAATAGTCCATTGTATATGTGTACCACCTCCTCTTTATCCATTCATCAGTCAATGGACACCCAGGCTGCCTCCACATCTTGGCCATTGTAAACAATGCTGCAATGAACATATAGATGCATATGTCCCCTCAAAGTAGTGCTTTGGGTTTCTTCGGATAATTACCCAGAAGTGGGATTACTGGGTCCTCCTTTGTCACTTGTTATATAGCCTTTGTTTTAAAGTCTATTTTGTCTGGTATAAGTACTGCTACCACAGTTTTTTTTTTTTTTTGCATTTCCATTTTCATGAAATATCTTTTCCCATTCCTTTACTTTCAGTCTGTGTGCCTTTTGATCTGAAGTGAGAGTTTCCTGTAGGCAGCATATGTAAGGGTCTTGTTTTCTTATTCATTCAGCCACCCTTTCTTTTGATTTGAGCATTTAATCCATTTAGATTTAAAGTAATTATTGATAGATATGCAGATATTGCCATTTTATTATTCATATTTTTTATTATTGTTGTTATTATTATTATTATTATTTGTCTTAAAGAAGTCCCTCTAAGTCCTTGTAATACTGGTTTGGTGGTGAGGAACTCCTTCAGCTTTTTCTTATCTGGGAAGCTCTTTATCTGCCCTTCAATTCCAAATGATAGCTTTGCTGGATAAAGTAATCTTCGCTGTAGGTCCTTATTTTTCATTACTTTGAATATTTTGTGCCAATCCCTTCTGGCCTGCAAAGTTTCTGTTGAGAAATCAGCTGACAGTCTTATGGGAGCTCCCTTGTAGGTAATGAATTGCTTTTCTCTTGCTGCCTTTAAGATTCTCTCTTTGTCTTTAACCTTTGGCATTTTAATTATGCTGTGTCTTGGTGTGGGCCTGTTTGGTTCATCTTGTTTGGGACTTTCTGTGCTTCCTGGGCTTGTATATCTAGTTCCTTCACCAGGTTAGGGAAGGTTTCAGTCATTATTTCTTCAAATAGGTTCTCAACCCCTTGCTCTCTCTCTTCTCTGTCTGGTACACCTGTGATGCAAATGTTGGTATGCTTGATGTTGTCCCAGTGGCCTTTTAAGCTCTCCTCATTTTTTTGGATTTTTTCTTTTTGCTGCTCTGATTGGGTGTTTTCTACTACTTGATCTTCTAAATCGCTGATTCGATCCTCTGCTTCATCTGATCTACTGTTGATTCCCTCTAATGTAGTCTTCATTTCCATTATTGTTTTATTTCTGACTGGTTCTTTTTTATGGTTTCTATGTCTTTCTTTATGCTTACTATCTCTTTGTTGAAATTCTCACTAAGTTCGTTAAGCAGTCTTATAGCCAGTGTTTCTGGTAGGTTGGTTGCCTCCATTTCATTTATTTCTGTTTGTGGAGATTTCTCCTGTTCTTTTATTTGGGACATGTTTCTTTGTTTCCTCATTCTGGCTGCATCTCTGTGTTGGTTTCTATGTATTAGATAGATCTCCTATGTCTCTCAATCTTTGCTGGGGTGGCCTTAAGTATCAATAGTATATGTCCTGTGTGGTCCAATGGCACAATCTCCCTGGTCTCCTGTGCATGTGTTGCAGGAGGAGTGTCCCTTGTGTATGCTGTGTGTATTGTCCTCTGATAGTCGAGCCTATAGATTGCTGGTGTGTCAGTGGGTGGGACTGACTCCAGGCTGACTGACTGTGAGGGTTGGCTTCGCTCACAGTTTATATGAGCTGCTGTGTGGGGACTGACCCCTCTGAGTGGGGTTTGCCCCCATGGTCTCTTGTGCCTATTAAGTTCACCCTTTGGGTGTGCCATTTGTGGTGCTAACCAGGTAGTCATCTGGTGTGGTCTGAAGCTGGTCTCTGGGTGTGTTGTCTCTGGTGTCTCTTTGAGGGCGGTCCCTGTGCAGGCCTATTTCAGCCTTGCCTGTGACCAGCCCTGGGCTTCCTGGTAGGAGCTACGCAGTATGTGGTTGGTTGCTGCCTATGCTGGACCTGGAGGCATGTAGGTGTGGCCTCGCTGTGAACTGAGGCCAGCTGTCACCAGTACTGGGCCTGGGGCAGCTTAGCAAAAGGCCCAGGGCCCCCGGTGCCTGTTGCTACCTACCAGCTGCCTGTAAGGCTCAGCCATTAAAAGAGCCTCTTTAGGTGTATAGGCTAGGCTGGTTGACCCCGTATTGAGGGTGCCCCCGTAATGCAGCCCTGGGTGGGCGGGATGGGTTCCAGGGAGTTACAGGGTGTGGGCAGTGGTTATTACAAAGTTAATGCAGTTTCTGTACTTGCACTCGTGCTGGGCCTGCAAAAATGCCCTGAAAACACCTTAGCAATTCACTGCTTGCCTCGGGCTCGCAAATCCCCGAGAGGTGCCCAAGAGTAGTTGTAGCACAAGTTTTCAGTCACTGCCCAGCACCAAAAGTTTCTTGGGCTGCAGCAGGCTGTCCGTTGCTGTAAAAGGCTTCCACAGCTTGTGGGACATGGCCAGCTGTTCCGTAGCCCAGAGTGCCCTGGGTGATGTAGTACTAGCTGTGTAAGGTGGGGACCCACAGTGGTGAGCATGAGCGGGTTTTACCAGACCAGTGCCATCTCAGATTTGGCCCTTCGGGGGAGGGTTCAACATAGAAAAGATGGCGCCCTCTGGTAGGCTACACATGAGGCAGGCTCCACAGAGGGACTGTGGCTGGTCCCTCCAGCCCTCAAACCGAAGCCTCACAACTCAGTCTTTCCCTGGATATCTTGACATCTTTCGAGTTGCTGCCCCTCCAATAGAGACCAGGTGAGTGTTTGCAAGAAAGTGGGTCTGTGTGCAAATATTCCCTCCTTTGGGATGCCATTTCCCACATCCTTCCCTAGGAGGGGTGCATTGTTACTTTCTCTTTTAGCCACCATTGTACATGATACATAATAACTAGTGTAGCTACTGATTATTAAGTGTTTACCAATTCTGACCTCATGCTAGACCCAGAGGCAATAACAACACAGTGTTTAAGGACATGAGCTCTGAAGATAACCAGATTGGTTCAGGTCCCAGTCTGTCATTTGTTTAGCAGAATGATCTAGAACAGGGGTCGGCAAACTTTTGAGATGGAAGAGCCGCCAGGGGTCAGCAAACTGCGGCTTGTAAGCCACATGCAGCTCTTTGGTTATGTATATGTAGCTCTGAAGTAAAATTGAAAATGAAAATAAAACTATCACAGTTTAATTTATAAAATTTCTAAAGGATATTATTCACATAATGGTGATTATGGAAAAATATATTTATGGCTCTCGAATAATTTTTAAATTGTTGTGAGGGACAGGACTGGCTCTTCCAGGGGTCGGCAAACTTTTGAGACAGAACGTACCCAAAGAGCCACATGTGGCGAGCCGCAGTTTGCCGACCCCTGACCTAGAGCAGGTTACTTAAACTCATTACAACTCAATTTCTTCATCTTTAATGTGGGGATTAAAAAAAACACCTTTCGTTGAGTTGTTGTAAGGGTTAATGAGACCACGTACAAAAAAATGCTTATCTGTTACATCATAAGCTATTAAGTTCAAATAATTGTTGTTATTAGATCTTTTTATATATATAATGGAGAATCGTCCCAAAAACTCTAAACATTTTTATTATCTCCATTTCACAATGAAAGAGGTTAGATGACTTGCCCAAAGTCACATAATCAGAAAGCAGCTAAGTTAGAGTTTAAAACCACACCACAAAGTACCGTTGTAGCCCTTATGACAACGTGTGAAATGTATTATAATTACTGTATACCCAGCTCTCCACCTGGATGGGACACTCCCTGAGGGCAAGGACTTAGTCATATTCATATCTCACGCAGGAAAAGTTTAAGAATAAATGAACAAATGAATAGTCAAGGTAGACTGATGGCTGTGAGACTGCAGTTCTGGGAGAGGGGAGAAGTGGCTGGTGTTGTCACAGTGGTGGCAGGGCAAGAGCCATCAGCAGGCTCCTGGGTCACTCACTCATTGCTTCTATCTGCACGTGGATAAGGCTCTCGACATCCTCTTGCAGGGTCTGATGGGGCTTCAGGGGGATGGGCAGGTAGCCGTAGTGCTCTCGGTTGCAGAGGTACATCTGGATGCCTGAGGACCCAAGAGAGGGACAAAGTCAACCAATCAGAAAACACACTTCTTACTTTTACAGTAACAACTATGGAAAAGAGGCTGGACTGTGGCTGATGCTGGGTTTGGCAATGAAATGGAACAAGTAGCAGTTTTAGGCACTGCCTGGAGACCTCAAAAATGCTTCTTTATTAAGAAAGTATAACACGGCATTGGGGGCTAATAAAAACCCTGGGCCATTCTTCAGCTCAGAGGAAATTGATTTTTTTCTCTCTGAAGAAAAAGCATACTTGTGGCCTGAAAATGAACACAAAGGCATGAAGGGATCAAAAGGGAGGCAAGGAATTCCCATTCCAGAGAACAGAATACAATACTAGAATCCACCTAACAGGAAACAACGAGAAAATAAGGAATAAAATGCATATTTGATATGAAAGCAAATAGGAAAATCCTGTAAGGCTAACAGATGAATAAAGTTAAATCTAGGAATACGTAGAACAACAACAACAAAAAACGAAATTTAAAATTCTCCATGACTCTCCTTGGTTTTATTTCTTCACTTAGCGGGCATGGATTTGGAGCCAACCAATGGACATGAAACTTCCATAATAGATTCATAAAGGAACAAAAGAAAGTCTGCATTTCAAGTCCTGTTAAGAAACTGCCAGAAATATGCCACGGCCTTCTTTTGTATTCAACACTGATCTTCACAGCGCCAGCTGCCTGACTCCAAGAGTTATACAGCATCTGTGTTCAGCCAGGTAGCTAAAAATACAGGAATCAAGATGGCCTCAGATAGATCCAGGAACTGACAGTCCTGACTAATGAAAAGATTTGCTTAGTTAAAAGGATGAGTCTGCCAAGCTCTGGTCTATGTGTCCAAGCTTCTGATTTGTTAATTGGTACAATCATCTATGCTTTCCAGAGAGAGAATTCTCTGCATAGGGCCGTCTCTGTTTTGTGCAGACGAAATTTCCTCCAGTCAGTGGTATCACCTGCCAAATCAGGTGAAGCTGTCTCGTGGCATTAACAGAGAAGAACAGAAGAAAAGAGCTTTCATCCTCCCCTTTGCTGAATCTGGCTTGAATCAGGGCTCGGCCACCAAGCACTGTCACTTCTCTCGCCTTCACCAAGCAAACTCACTTGCTCTGCTGTTTGCCCACATGAATGCTGCTGGGGTCCTTCAAACCAAGCTGGACCCTCTTGCAAAGTCTTGATGAATTCAGGAATTCAAAGGAAAATGATTTCATATTTAGATGGCCTCTCTACCCTAATTAGGTCAATCATTTTACCATTCAACTTTTCCAAAGCTTCAGTAAGAAGAGGCGATGGGACCTAGCCAAGCTATCCATCAAGTGTGAGAGGACAAGAGAGGCATTTTCAGACATGCAAGGTCATAAATATTTACTTCCCATCACACTTTCTCAGCAAGTTACCGGATGACGTGGAAGAAGAAGGAGAAGGAAAAGGGGTAGGGAGAGGAAAGAAGAGGAGGGAGATTATAAAAAACAAGGAAGACCTGGTATGTAGGAAAGGAAGAGTCCACGCAGCAGAGAAGAGAAGGGGGTCCCGGGTTGACAGCAGCTGTGTCACCACTCAGATGAGAGTATATTAGAGACTCCAGGAGAGATGCCTTCACAGACACAAAAAGAACATCTGATAAATCTGACCATTCCATGAGAAGTTTTAGACAATTAGGGATTCGTTTTGGATTGTATTAGTAATAATAAAACTAAGCCCCCAAAAGGCAATTCTTAAGTTAGCTAAGAAAGGAAAACTAACCATGGCCCATAAGTGGCACAGCTTAGAATTAGGTTCACATGATTCTAACAACATACAAGCTGACTATTGATCGATCTGAATTACCATGTAACTATACTGAGAAGACAGGGTGAATGGAAGAAGGTGTTTGTGTGCAGAGGGAGAGCTAGCTCCTTGTCTTCTGTAGCAGAGAGTCAATAGATTATTCCTAAAGTAAAACCAGAAAAGCAAGGAGTAGTAATACGAGCATGTTATTTAGAAACATGAGTGTAAATATTATACTTGTATCATCATCTGGAAGTGAAAAGTGTTTGCCTTCCAGAAGAGGAAACCGAAGGCTGCCTTATGGTTCAGTGGCTGGCAGGCAAGTTGGGTGAAGCAGGGTCTCAGTGAGTCAGCAGGGTGGAGCCGTGGAGCTCACAGGCCAATCATATTCAGATTTGGCCTGAAGGGGCGGGCTCAACACAGGAAAGATGGCGCCTGCCTGCGGGCTGCATGGGAGCAGGGCTCCACACAGGGAAAATGGGGACGGTCCCTCCAGTCCTTGTCTCGAAGTTACACAACTGAGTCTCTCCCATATGTCTCCAACGCCTCCATAGTCACCGACCTTCTGCCAGAGCCCAGAGTAAGTGCCTTCGCGGGCCCTTTTAAAGGATATCTGGGTTTCCCAAAGCCTTCCGTCCCACCTGGGCGGTCAGAATCCCCACTGTTTTTCACAGCCAGGAGTTGTGGGGCCTCTTTTCCTGACACCAGTACTCTGAGCTAGGGAGTCTGGTGTGGTGGGCTGGGGTCCCTCTCTCTTTCATGGGGAACCTCTGTGGCTGAGATATCACTCCTGATTTTCAACCGCCACATGGGAGTTTGGGGCCAGCCCCGTTTCGCGTCTCTGTCCCTCCTGCCAGCCTCGATGTGACTTCTTCTTTATATCCTTAATTATAAAACTTCTGTTCAGCTAGACTCAGATGGTTCTTCAGGTTGATTGTTAGATAATTTAGTTGTAATTTTGATGTGTTCATGGGATGAAGCAAGCACAGTGCTTATCTACTCTGCCATCTTGGATGTCATAGCTATTTGTTGACTTACTGATGATAGCCATTCTGACAGGTGTGAGGTGATATCACATTGTGGCTTTAATTTACATTTCCCTGATGATCAGTGCCGTTGAGCATCTTTTCATTTGCTTACTGGCCATCTTTATGTCTTCTTTGGAGAAATGTCTATTCAGGTCCTCTGCCCATTTTTTAAACTGGATTGTTTGGTTATTTTTGGTGTTGAGTTGTATGAGTTCTTTATAAATTTTGGATATTAGGAAAGCTTTTTTTACTCCTCCGAATGACAGTCATCCTTTCCCGTTTTGACTCCTGACCTGTTCACAGTTTGTACCACCCATATAATTCTCAGCTTTCACTATTTCATAGCTATTAGTTCTGTTTCCACATGTAAAGGTCTTACCTCTCCAAACACAGAGCCTAACACAATGCTAGGCACAAAAGTCACGCCTAGGACACTGATCCTTTCACCTTTCTTTTCTACCTCTCCTCTCCCCAACTGAATCACCAAACAGCTTTGGGCCTCTGCATTTGCTTTCAATGTCCCGGGAGGAGTTATGAGAAGTCTGACCAATACAGAATGAAGGCCGAGTGAACAGGCCAAGCCAAGGGCAGAGCTGAAAATATCCTACCTAGCCTGTGTCACTCGTCCAGCCCCAAATCCAGTTCTTGGTTTAAAAGAATTTATCATAATAATTTAGTGCATGAGTTACAATAATGCCTTGTGCAATGGCTATAAAGGGGGACTCTGTTAGGCAAGGATCATTACTGTATGTTCATAGTTCACTTTCTTGGAACATCCTCACTTCAAGCTCTGAAGAGAAGGGACTGGCACAACTCAGAGAAATGAGAAGGTCCTGAGTCTGCATCCCATCCTGGAGAGGTCAGAGTGAATCACAGCCCAAGTTGAAACAAGCAGTTTCCATTAACACTGACACAGGAACCTTCTTGAAAACGTCTAGTCCCCATGAGAATAAGGACCTTGCTATTGCCCTGACACACAGGCCTAAAAAATGCCTACACCTTGCCAAAGGGTCTAAATGGCCCTAACAGTTAAGAGGAAAAAAATCAGCCTTCCTTCCACATTTCCACTAAATATTCTCTCTCCTACCAAATCTACAACAGATGAGGGGGACACCTGTGGGTTGAAGGATGGTCTGAGGAGTGAGTTGCAGCTTGAGTTTGTATTAGCATTCTCACCTGCCAACAACCTGCTTCAGCTGCCTGGCGTCTCTGCATGATCACATCCACCCTAGCTCAGATGGGCACAATGAGTTTATTCACCATCTGCCTGGTTCCCAAACTCACTTTGGCTAGTGGTTACGTGTCATATTTCTGGCTCCTTGACTATGGGACCTGACTTCTGGCAGGAAGCTCTGAATGATCCTGAGAACAAGCCTTTGCTTTAGGAATGTCGTGTCTCTTCCTGTGGAACTGCTGTAGTGAATTACGTCCACCCTGACTGCATGTGCAGGTGACACACAAGAAATGACTTACTTTCCTACTGACTTGTCTTCTTCAAAAAGCCTACAGACCCCACTGGAAACTTAAGTCTGGCTCTGTCTTTCCTTCCATGAGGACTGTGGCGTATACTGCTGGTTGCCTCCCCAAATCTGCCCTCTCCTTCTAGAGTGAGAGAATTGAGGCTCTAGGCTGCACAGAATAAAGACAACATTCTGAGCCTCCGCTATAGCTAGATGTCCTTCTGTGACTAAGCTCTGGCTAATAGGATACGCATAGAAGAGATGTGTTCAACTTCTGGGTTGTAATCCTCAAGGTGTAGTGAAGGACAGCACTCGCTCCTCTCTGATTTTCACCAAGTGGCTAGAATGCATCCATACTAATGAGACATCTTGGGTCATACAATTAAGGACCATACCTCATGGAGGGTGGAAAAGCAATAAAGGAGCCTGGGTCTCTGCAAACTTTGTGGAACAGACTTTTTTGAGAAGAAATAGACTTCTATTTTTTAAGTCTGGGGTCTTTGCCAGTGTTGTTTGGGTCTCTGTCACCATTTTCTAATTCATAAAAGGACTCCTAAAATGGCCAAAGCAATGCAGTAGCACCACAGAGAACCAATCACATGCCAATGGCTCTCACCACCATTCCCACATGGCTCAGAGAAAAAGAATGGATTCCTGGGTAGAGACCACTCCTGGCCCTTGGCCACTGGTACTCACAAGGACAGCAATGCAGAGGGTGCTGGTATGGTCACTGCAGACAATTAATTGCCTCTAACACTACCTGAAGAGGAAGCCCTCTTCCACATAGAGCAGTGCTTTTAATAAGATGCACAAAACAAAGGAACTGGTTGTTTGCAGTGTTTCTATGGGGGCAGTATAACCAGATACAAACAGTACCTGCTTGCCTGCTGGAGAAGGCGAAGACGATGATGTCATCAAAGGTCCAGGTGTAGTCCTGGTGCGGGGGATAGAACATCAGCTCGTCAGAGGCTTTCTTCCTGAGGTCAATCAGGAATGTGGAGTGGACCATGGGCACGGGAAAGCAGCCCATCCTCTTCCATTCTCGAATCTGAAGGTAGTCTGGGGTCCGTTTATAGAAGCCCTGTGAAGAGCAAATAGGTGAGCTCTGTGCTCTGAGCTGAGCATTTGATCTCTGGTAGTCATCTGCTAGCGGATTCCTTCTAAGTCATCATCACTTAAGTCGAAGTCCCCAAGCAAAGTCATCTTCACTGTTCTTCGCTAAGAATTTCCAGTTGAGCTTAAGAATTCCAATTTCCATATAAAGCAGTACTAAAGGGGTGGTGTTGTCAGAAATATTTCTTGCTTTCAGCATATCTCTTGATTTAAGAATTCCTTAAAAGCATATTTTATGTTGACTTATGATTGAACATTGAAGTATGAGTACTAAGTGGTGGTAAAGCAGAGCAATGAAGAGCGTAGTTTCTGGTGTCTGCCTGCCCAAGTTCAAATCCCACCTTAGCTACTACTGTCTGTAGGCATTGGTCAGGTTACTCAGCCTAGTTCCTCATGTTTGTCAAACAGGAATGATGGCACTCTCTACTCCATGTGGTTGTCTATAAAGATGAAAAGTACTTAGAATTGTGCCTAGCACCAAGAAAGCATCAATAAATATTGGCTAGTATTAAAATTACTCCACGACATTGGCTAATATTTTTAACTAAACATGCAGCATTTAAATATAGAAATAGGGTCTTCTCTCAATGAAGTTAGTTATTCAATATTCTGGTGGAGTTGCCACTGCTCCACACTTTCGGGGGCTTCCCCTTTTGAAAGCTTCTTCAGGGCAAGCATACGAGACCACCAACCTCCCTACTTTGTGGTCACATTTTCTGCCGTGATGCCAGTGCCCACACAGTAGGTGCTGTAGCCTCTTCTGACCTTCCCTTAGTGTCTGGATGAGTGTTCGGCTCAGCTAACCTAACACTCACCCCGTGGTCCAGTGGAGGGAGCACAAATTGAGACTGAGAAGATGCGAGGCTTAGAGTCATTTTAACCACCTTCTAGCTGTTTGGTCTTAGCTCGTGATTAACTTCTCTGAGAGGCTGAGTGTCTTCTCACAGGGTTGTAGAATGGATCTCATGCAATAAGGTCTATGAAGACACTTTGAAAACGGCAATTCATTATAAGAAGTATTGTAATTACTATCATTTTATTCGCCTTTAACTCAAGGATGACTTAATATCTTTAAGTTAGGAGAACATGGGTTCTCCTGACACTTCAACTTAGGAGTATTCTTCCAAGGGATAAAGAAAACACTGGTTCTTTAGAGGCCTAAGAATGCATGTCAAATATAAAGCTCTAGACAACTTAAGAACAATATTCTCAGAGTGAGAAGCTTGGAGCACTCTTGACTATGATGAATCACAGAATATCCTGGGGGCAGGGAGGAAAGAACCAGTTACTATGCCTCCTGCAGACAGGCGGAGGGGATAGTTGTGTCTTTTTTTCCACATAAATTGAACGTGGTAGGTAATAATTCTTGTTCATTGGCTCGACCACAACGCCAGGGTCATTTAAAAGCTCTGGAAACCAGGGCCTGCCTTAAGCTTATGAAGTCACTGGCCGCCCTAGAAGAAGCCTGCCTGGGGATGGCAGACAGCCAAAAACAGATGGAGATAAATTAGAGTTGCCCGAAGTTGCTCAGATTTTTCTTTTACTGTGCACAGTAAGTGAGCACATTTCTCCTGTTTGTTTTTAATGATGGAAGCAAATAAGGAGATAATAGAGCCCTGGAGGCTGCCGTCACTAGAATAACCCACCCTCGTTGCTGGTATCAGCACGTAATTCATTAAAAACAACCCTCGAGTGATTCTGCCACTGCAGATTATTAACTGAGAGTATATGAATTCAAACGAACTTAACACAGTAAAACCTTGGATTGCGAGTAACCTGGTTTGCGAGTGTTCCGCAAGACAAGCAAACATTTCTAATACATTTTAATGTGGTAAACGAGCGATGTCTTGCGATACGAGTAGTTTATTTCCAGAACCAATTATGCTCGCAAGCTAAGGTATTGTATAACGTTTTCTCACCAAGAACTGAATGACTTTTATAAGATGAACTTAATGCTTTCCTAAAAGAGGTGTGGATAATAACATGCATTCAAAACCTCTTGGAACTGTGGGACATGATTGTAATAAAGGAGGAATGTCTCATCCAGGAGTGAGCTAGAGCAGGAATTTTGCAAGCCAGTTGACATGTTGGTAGCTGTGAAAATAAAAATCAAGAGTATCCCTACTATTCTAACAGTACCACAGATGTCAGCTTTGCATATTTTTAATAATTGTCTCATCCAGTGGCTATACTGCAATTTACTCAACCTTTCCCTTAGCTCAAACAAATCAAAGTTGTTTGCATGGTAGGAGTACTTACTTCCACCATGAAAATGGAAAATTTTCAAATTTACAAATCAGGATTTTTTTCCCCCACAGAGAGCCAGTTATTAAACATTTATTAGCACTGGCCTCATTCTTCATCCAAACCAAATATAAAAGAAGGACTCAAATTTTTAGCCATTTGGATACAAGAGCACATTTAACATAAATTTTTTTCCCCTAAGCACATCTTTATCCTACATTGATACATACTACAATAATAAGTTTAATTTATCTCTCTACTTCACTAACTAAAGAATAAAAAATATTGGGTTGTCAGGAATGTCATGACGTATTTTTCTATGTTTTTCAATGCAAAAATGTGTCATGACTTTCCCAACAACCCAATATAACCAGCCATAAGCATTCATGGTAAGACAACTCTAGACTTTGAAGATTTTACAATGGAAAAGAGAGATAATGGAAATAAAAAATTCTGTTTTTAACTTGAATTTTGTAAAAACAAGCTACCATAGCAGTTCTAATTATCAGATCTCTTTGGAAATAAATTTGGAAATATATTATCAAAGGTCATCAAAATATTTATACTCTGGGGCCGGCCGAGTGGCGCGATGGTTAAGAACTGGCTTGGGACGCCAGAGGGCCCCAGTTCAGATCCACATATGAGGGCCAGTGACACTGCCCTCCACAGCTAAGATGCTGAACAACAGCTCAACCTGGAGCTGGGCTGCCCTGAGTCGCCGGTGACGGCGTAGGCTGCAGCCCCTGTGGCAGTGGGTTGCCATGGGCTACTGTATGTAGCCAGTAGTCAGCGTGAGCGGCCAGCAGCCCTGGTGAGTGGATGTCCAGAGGCCAGCAACTGATCTGCCTCACCCGGGAAGAGTGCAATGATGGTGCCAACTTGGGCCAGTGAAGCAACGTCCTCCACAACTAGACTGAAGAACAAAATGACAGCAACTTGTCTGTTCCTCTTCCCCCAATTCCCCAGCGCTGTTCCCATCCCCCAATTCCCCAATAAAAAATCTTAAAAAAAAAATTATACTCTGACTCAGTCATTCTACTTCGTTATCCTAAGAAAATAATATTAAATACAGAAAAATTTATATTAATCATGATGGTCATTATCATAGTTAAAAGTTGCCATTATCATAGTTAAAAGTTGCAAACAACTTAAATGTTTTTAAACTAAGAGAAAAGTTAAGTAAATTGCATTATAGACACTTGATGATATACTTATTTAAAAAACGCAAATTGTTACCTATGATTTAGAGGGATGGGGATTAACATGGTTTTGTGAGTTTTTTTACTTTTTTCCATTTTCATATTTTTCTATGTTGTTCTTATGTTAGCTTTAATGACAAAAAACTATTAATTTTTTTTTTAATTTCTGAATCAGGGAGAAAAAAAGTACAAGTCCCAGCAAGCTTTACTGGTTAATTTAAAGCTTTTAATGCTAAGCTCATTAGCACATTTTCCTCATAATTCATTAATACAGACGCTCTCACTGGGCTGTGGCATTGGATTTACCTCCTTCCCTGAAAATGCGTGCTCTAAAATGACATGCATGTTTCAAGGGAGGAAATGAGAAACAGGGTAACAGGGCTAGTGTTCACACACAGCTGCTGCCTTGTTATAACTCATGGCCTTAAGTCATTAGCCAAAGACTTGCCTGAGGTGTGATTCCGCACCAAAAATTTGAGTACAGGCCCCGAGACTCCAGCATGGGGGCCACGATGGTTTTGTTTTCTGCAATCATTAGACTGAGGGTCTGTGGGTTAGTCAGGAAGTTGTCGACATCTATGAACTAGGGAAAAAAAACCAAAAAGGATAAAGTCAGATGAAGAGGTACTTTTCTGTCATGGGTTCAAGAGTCACCCAACACTTCCCAACGATCTCAGAAACTTGCTCATGAGATAGGGAACTAGCTATCTCTGTTCTCATTATGGAAACCCAGTGTAGCTGATGGTTTTCATTCCGGCAAACTACATTTAGTCTAACTTTCACACAGTCAGCTCTGCCAAAGGCAACAAGCAATGAATTGGTGTTACCACACTGAGCACACACTCAATCAGGACCCACCCTACAAGATATTAACGGCTCCCACGCTTTGTGAAGGTTATTCAGAAACACTTACTGAGTGCCCACTATAGGTACAAATGGACAGACCTATTTAGGTTGTCTATGGTAACGCCAAAATGGTCCAACACAGATCCACCGATGTTATTTTAATGTTACAAGTAGTATTTTTTGTTTAAAGTACATTATATCAACCCATGCTAACCAGTGAAGCTATGTCCCACTCTTAGCTGAAGTCCATGTTAGCACTGATTCATTTACAGGGACAGAATAAAAGATAGTTTATCATATAAAATAATCACCTTGAACTACACACTGAAAAATGATAAAAACGGTAAATTTTATGTTATGTATGTTCTACCACGCACAAACAATCAATAATCAGAAGCTTTCCTTCTTATGGCAGTCAGTCTGTTTACCAAAAATGTTGTGGTTCAGCCTTCATACACTTGAGTGACACTGAAACAGCTATACAATGTTAAATATCTTCGGTACAATTTGAAAACTTCTGTGAAATTATTTGTATTGCGAGTGTGTGTGATAAATCATTGGGCTGATTTTTGTTGTAGCTGAGGGCCTGGTGATGGACATGGGTTCAAACACTCCCTTTAGGAATCAGTCCAGTGACAGAGGGCAGGTGTCAATACGTGGAATGAAACAATATCAGCTTTATCGGTGTTATTTCTCGTGTTGCCCTGGAAAACGTTTGCCAAAAGAAATGAATGAATTTTGAAGGCCACAGGTGAAGAACTTGGTTCCCTTAACCTCGTGGGCAAACTGTCTCTGTTAACATTCAGAAAAGGGAAATGGGGACTGTTGCTACTTAGGATGCTGGCCTTTCTAGTCGAGATGGGTTCACGGAGGACAGGATGGGAAACAACATCGATTCCTAATCAAGTCCAGCACTTTCTGGACCTCCCTCAAAGCACTAAGAAAAAGTGATAAAACCTCTTTGTGGAGTGAAAGTCTCCATGAAAGCCCAGCGCAATGGGGAGGAACCAGGGAGTCTAGCAGGAGATGCCACCCCCCAAATCACTCAGGAGCAAACGGGAGTGCAGTGTCAGAGCTGCTGATTTGAATCTCGTTTATATAATTAATTTCTCATCATTCCCAAATTCTTCTAAAAAGCTAGTAAGACTCTACTTTGCCGTACCTACAGCATTCCCCATGAACTACAAAGATTCAGAGTGTCCTATGCCTGTTACATGAAAGAGTTTGAATAATTCAGGAGCTTAGTCCCTTACTTACTGAAATTGCATATCAGGAGTGGGTCTGAGATGAAATCCAGCTATCCTAACAGTAAGTTCCCCAAGTTTTCCCTTGTGCCTTTATTAAAAAGTAGGGAAGGTGGCGCCTAAACAAAAGATTGTTTTGATTGACCCCACGGTTCTAGTTTTTGGACAATTAATTTGGATACATTCTAGATAACAGTTGTCAAGAAATCAAACATCTGTTTTTACCAGAATGTAGTCTGACCATTTTTCCCTCGCAGTTCGAAGGGCTGCCTGTCGTAGTTTCATCACATGGGCAAAACGGGAGGCAGGCCAGTGCTTTGGTCCAATTTCATCAGGGTAAGACCTACAATTAATAATAGTAATAGTAACATAATTACTGAGTGCTTATCTATTGTACTATGTACTGGCTCATTTAATCTTCTGGTAACCCTAGGAAGTAGCTACTATTAATGTTAGTATCATCTCCATATTACAGAAAAGAAAACTGGTACAAGGCGAGATTAAGGAACATGCTGTTTACCATACACGAGAATCTTCATATGAAATATTTCAGAGGCTTCTAAATGGAGTCCACCATGTCCCTACAAGGTTAAGTGCAGTCGCCCCTCAATATCCACGGGAGGTTGGTTCTAGGATACCAAAATACCAGATGCTCAAGTCCCTTATAAAAAATGTCTTAGTATTTGTATATAGCCTATACACATCCTCCGTATTCTTTAAATCACCTGTAGATTACTTATAATACCTAATATTATAAATGCTATGTAAATAGTTGTGAAACCGTATTGTGTAGGGAATAATGACAAGGAAAAAAATGTGGGTACGTGTTCAGTACAGATGCAACCATTGCAGTACATGCCAGCAAAAAGTGACAATTTTTTTCCCCCAAACACTTTCGATCCGCAGTTGGTTGAATCTGAGGATATGGAACCCATGGATATGGAGGGCCAACTGTATTACTATTCTCCCCATTTCACAGATGAGGAAATTGCTGTAGAGCAATTTAAGTCATTTGCTTAATATTATGTAGTTAAGAAGGATCTGAACCCAGGCATAACCCCAAAGCTCACATTCCTAGACATGTTTTCATACATTTTGCCATCAGATAAAAATTCAGAAATTTTGCAGCATAAAAATATGAGTTTCCCAAGTTTCCATAAAGGATGCCACCGAGCTCAACACACTGACGTCTCCCAGGTAAAGTGAGGTCACAGAGCAGATGTATAATGTCCTTGGGGTCTCTATCAGCACCCACAGAAAAGCCAAGCCAGGACTCGTTCATGGCCACATAGGCAAGCAGTTGAGTACCCACGAGAACCCTTCTGAAAGCCCCTAACTGGGATGGACTTTGACGCTGTCACAGCGGCCCCAAACTGGCCACATTTCAAGTTCTTGTACCCACACTGGCAGTACCTGTGCCTCAGTGAATAAACACACATGCACACAAAAATGAGGCTGTAACTATACAAATAAAATGAATAAAACTATGTACTGCACAGGAATTCTCTGGGATGTCTCCCCCAATTATTGTTCCAATGAAAATCAGTCCAATTCCTATTTTTCTGAATAGATTACCCCCAAAAAAGCCTTCCCTAATATTTCTCACACTGACCTTGGCATATTTAGTCAAAATCTGGCTACAGAGAAAATTACCAGGATGCAAATTAGGTATGTAAAGTCTTCCTGGGCCATTCTAATCAGGCCAAATTCTAATATTAAAAGAAACTGGAACCGATGTCACCCTGACAAATTTAACAATAATAAAAAAAAGAAATATTGAAAATATTTCAGAGACTAAAACAAAATCATTTTTAAGTTAAAATAACTGCACAAGGGTGTGCAAAATTTTGTATAGTGTTTAAATTTCATTTTTAATTTTTGCTCAATATGTAGATCACATGCTGGGATTATATATATATATGCACATATATATATATATATATGCACATACATATATAATAAAAGCATATACAGAAAGGCCGGCCGAATGGCTCAGTTGGTTAAGAGCTCGCTCAAGAGTTTGAGCTCTGAGCAACAGTGGTTCGAGTCCAGCCTGAGCTGAGCAGCCGCTGAGCTGCCAACAGGTAGCAGGATGGCTCAGCTAAAAAAAAAAAAAAAAAGCATATACAGAGACTAAGAATCACACACTGGGACTTGAAATTACACGCACACACACACACACACACACACACACACCACACACACACACATTATAGACACAGAGACTAGAAGAACAAAAATTTATTCTAGAATGGCACTTATTATTATAAAACAAATTTGGTTTTCAATAAATGACTTATCCTGAGGCAACTCAATTCATTCTACTTGTACAGTTCCTTAAGTTGGAATTGTAACAGCCTTAGGAACATTTATAATAATAAGTTTTAAATATATTCATTCATATTCTTATTCATTCATTGGTTCATCCAACAAGTTCTCATTTCATGCCTGCCAAAAACATAGCATTGGAGAAAATATAATTTGTATATTTTAGTCCCCGCCAAAGAACTAAAAAATTAGTTAGGAAAAAAAAATGCATGAATTATATAGTTAATGCTAGTTAGGTGGACTATTGTGGCAAAAAGCATGATCTAGAAAATAAGCAACACAAGTGTTGAGAGACAGGTAGACCTTTGTAGCTATTATAGAATTAGCAACATTAGCAACAGCTTTCTGTAGTAAGTGGGGTTTGGGATAAGAACTGGTTACAAAGAAGGAAAGGTCTTCCAGGAGAGCAAACCTGCACGAGCAACAGCTTGGGGTTGAGAATAAAAGAAACATCCTGGATAAAGCAGGTTTTCTTTATCCTGGATAAAGCAGGGAGAGTAGGAAATATGGGTGCATAAGTATAGGTGCCAACTTTAAGGAAACTTTTAAAAGTATAAGTCTAGGGTATTTGAACTTTTTCTGCAGGTACTAGAGAGTCACTGGAGTCCTTTTAACAGAAAAATTAAACCATGTTATTGGTATTTTAGATAGATTGATTTGACAGTATGGTAGGTAGGATGACTTGAAGATGGGGACAACTAAGAAATTGCTATGGTTAAGACTGGAAATGACCTAAATGTCTGTCGGTAGGAGATTGCTTACAGAATTATGATACATCCATACAATCGGTAGACTGCAGTCATAAAAATAGTGAAGAAGCTCCTCAACTATTGTTATGGAAAGATTACCAAGATATAAGTAAAAAAGCAAGGTGTATGTGAAAAGTATACAAACTTTTTCACTGTGATCCCTCAAGTACAAAAGCTTTACACTCAAAATATGAATAGATAATATCACTATTTTAAAACATATACCTCTGTGGTAATTTACTTGTGAACTGATGAGAACCCTCACTTGGCTGGTACCTGTAAAGAGGAAGTAAAGAAGGAGAGAGAAATATGGAGTGCTGTCAAAAGAAGAAACTTACTGGATACACAGATGAAAGACAAGGAGAGGTCACATGCGCCTCCATGACAGACAGCCTGCACGGCTGGAAACGGTTAAGGGAGGAAGGGTCAATGTTCTCGTGCTACTCACTCAGGTTCGTCCATAGGTCTCCACTCCACATAGTGATAGACTCTCTGTACATTTTTCAACCACTCCCTGAGGATTTCCGTCGTATTATCCACGTTGTGATCAGTGGCTGCCCTGCATGAAAGAACAATAGAGTTCAGTTATGTCATTCAAAGGAGGAGGGAGAAATCCAAGAGACCCCAAATTAACAGAAAGGAGAATGGCCAGTTCGGGGAATTATATATATGAAAGTGATACATATATATATATATATATACAGTAAGTCCCCAACTTACAAACGAGTTCTGTTCTGGGAGAACGTTCGTAAGTCGGATTCGTTCCTAAGTCTGACAAAGTGAGTCTTATACACCTTTGACACAAATATACAATGTAAAGCCAATGGTTGAATGATTTATGTTAAAAGAACGAGCAATGTCTACCATCTCTTTGCCTGGGTCCAATCTCTCAATTATTTTCTCTTTTGTTTCCATGGTTATTGCTTCACGCTTCCTAGCAGTCCCCTCCACATCACCACTGCTTTTCCTCCTGCTTCCAGACATCATGGGCTCTGATTGAGCACTGCACTACTGTACACTATCGCACTGTACAGTAAGCACACAGCAGCACAACTGTGACAATGTCCGGCAGACATGTGAGCTACTTCCGCGATTTTATCACATCTACGAATGTTCATAATGCGAGGTCTGTTCATAACTGTTAAAGTTCACAACACGAATGTTCGTAAGTTGGGGACTTACTGTATATATATATATATATATATATATATATGTGTGTGTGTGTATATATGTATATGTATGTATGAAATATATAAAAATATTAAGCATGACAAAGAGGGATTATAATGATTCATGGTCCAAACTGGACAATGAATTTCTAAAGTGCAAGGTACTGCTTAAAATCATCTCTGTGTCATTAGACCCTTAAACAGGGCTAAGCCAATACTAGAATCAATAAATGGTTGTACTAAACAGCATAAGCATAAAATGAATAAGGTAATTAATCTTCTTGGAAATTTTCTTGTTTGTTTTCGTTTTTAGTTATCCAAGATGTAAACTCTGCCTCTTAACTTCACTAACAACTCCCTTCGATTGAAGCCACAATTCAGTAGCAGTTTCATTTCAAGTGCATTTACAGGTCACGACAAAATTTTTAGTCAGTGCTGCTTTAACCACATGCACTAGAGGACAAAGCCACAATAACAGTTCCCAGTATAAAACTCAAAATCTAAGGTATCTTCATGGATCTATTTTGGATTAACTTTATCATCACTTACACAAAACAGGGTACCTTCAAAAGCCTTCAGACAATGTATACAAAATTTGCTTCTGTTCTACCTTGAAAGTATATCAAACCGACCCACTTATAAAGGAACATTAACTCACTTATTGAAACAAAAACATTTTCAACTCGTATCACAAAGCAATCTCTTGCTGTGTACAAGATACACATCTAAAATAAAGTAATTCAGAACATCTGAAAACAAAGAGTCATACCCGTCAACTGGAAAAAAAAATAAGGAAAGCAGGGGTTATAATCTTGACATCAAATAAGGTAGAATTCGGGTCAAAAATATTAAGCAGGACAAACAAGGACTCTATAGTTGTAAAGGATGTCATTCACATCACGGATTTAATAAATGTGAATATGTACCTTCTTATAGTACAGGGTTAGCAAACTTTTTGTTTAAGAGACAGATAATAAATATTTAGGCTTGCAGACTATACACTCTCTGCTCCAACTTTTTAACTCTGCCATTTTAGCAGTAGAGCCTTCATAACTAATACATAAAAGAACGAGCATTTCTGTGCACCAATAAAGTTTTATTTACAAAAGCAAGCAGCTGGTCTGCAGGCTGTAGTTTGTCAACCTCTCATATAGAGGAAAGTATAGAAATTGCAAGAAAAAGCAGAATACCAATAATAAGAGATGTGAACATACCACTTTCAGATGAAGACTGTACAAATGGTGAAAAAGTAACTCCATAGAGAAGCTCTATAGAACACATTAACAGAGACGATATTTTCTTCTCAAGTACACTTGAAACATTCACAAAAATCGACCAGCAATTACATTACAAAGAAAGCCTGTATACAATTGAAATAACATCAACAGCATTCTCTGATCATAAAGCAATAAGACTAGAAATTAGTAAGGAAATAAAAGCAAATAATTCCATTAAATACTCTCTACTAAGCTTCTATTGAGTAAAAGAAGAAATACAAACCAATTTCATAATTGATAACAGTGAAAACACTACATATCAGAATTTTGTAATACAATTAAGTTAGTGATCAGAGAAAATTTTAGCTTTATGTCCTTAAATCAATAAAAATAAATGAGTTGAATTCCCACTCAAAAAGTTAGAGAAAGAGCAACAAACAAGCATTGAGAAGTAAATAATAAAGATAAAGGTAGAAAGTCACAAGGTAGAAAACAGAAAAAGAGTAGAAATAATAAAGAAAATGTTGCTTTTTTTGAGAAAAATTAACAAAAGACAGCCATTAGTTAATCTAATCAAGACAACACAAATATAAAAAATAAGAAATGACAAGGATGAAGGGATTATGATTGATATGGAAGCATTTTTTAATAATAAGAAATTACTTTGTACAACTCAATGAAAACAATAAGTTGAAAACTAGGTATAATGGAAGATTTCCTAGGAAGATGCATGCTAGCAAAACTGACTCCTCCAGTAGATATATAAAACGTAAACAGAACAATTTCCATGGAAGAAATGAAGAAAACAAACAAAAAATCTCCACTAGGTCCAGATGGTTTCACAAGGGAATTCTAACAGATATCTTAACAGACTAGATAATTCCAATGCTATATAGATTGTTCTCCAGTGCTCAAGGGTGAAAAAATGAGAAAATGCCAAGTTCTTTTAATAATGCAAGTATAATATTGATATCTAAACCTAATGAAGATACACACACACACACACAAACACACACACACATGTGCACGCACACACACAACTACAGACCACTACCTTTTAATGAATATGCTGCAAAAATTCCTACATAAAATATTAGCAAACAGAATCCAACATCCTGTTAAGAAAATAGCATATAGCATGGCCTAAGATGGTTCAATATGAAGGAAATCCATTAATATAATAAACTATGTTAATAGTCCTGAAGAAAAATCATATGATTATCTCTCTAAGTGCTAAAAAGGTCTTTAACAAAATTGAACACCTATTCCCGCTTTTTGAAAAACCACATGGAATACAATTAAGACAGGAAGGAAGGGCTAACAGAAAAGAAAGAGTCCTGGGAAGGTGGAGGCCTCTGAGATTTTTAAAGGGAGTGAAAATGCTTAGATTTTATTGGTGCTTCAGCAGTTCCTTCTAGGAAGGAAAACTGTGGGTATTATCAACAGCAGGGGTTCCCTGGGAATATAACCTTGATAAGAGCAAATGAAGAGCTGTGAACAGTGGTTACTTCTCCCATAGATGGCAAGTTCAGTAAATAAGATTTTATTAAGACCAATCCATAATGGCTTTTGTCCTTTCTACTTGAGCTTTTGGAGATCATGGCTACTTCAAAAACAACAAATGAAATCTTTAAGAGAAATAATATTCACGAATGTTCAAGAGAAAAAAAAATTGTTAGGCAAAGCACAGTGGAACCCCATGACACATAGGGAATACATTTCTGTCAAACACCAAGTAACTTGAAATTATGTCACTTAAGAGCCATAAAGTATAGAAAAATGGGATAGAGGTGTGTTTCTAATATTTGATAGAGGTGTTCCTAATATTTGAAAATCTTATTTCATAAAATGGAGATTTGAACTAAAACGAGTCTTATTAAAAACCAATGGCCATCTTGATCTACTTCCAAGTCTGTTCTGGAAATCATATTAGCACCAGCTCCGCCTTTCAAAATGAGGTCTAGGAGGGAGGGAATCCCATAGGCCCACCTGGACATTCCATCACCTGGAGCGGGAGAGAGGTGGTGTGTGCAGCGGACAGTGGAGGCACACACGCTGAGCACTTTGGGATAAAGATGGGGTAATACGAGGAGGTGAGAAAGCAGGACAGAAAGCAAAGTGGGAGGGAGAGGGTCATGAGCTCCACCCAGCTTTCAACTGTGCTGGGAAGGGCAGCACGTCAGAGAGAATCACATTCACCGTGACACATGGCCATGAGCCACCGACGTCCACGACATAGCCATGAAGGGCACCAAGAGAATCCAACCACTCATCTCAAAGTATGGAGATGGACAGAGCAATTCCTGAAACTGGGACTCAGTTCTCATGCACACTATTCCTTACTCAAAATATTATGAGTAAAAGTAAGTTAAAACAAAATCACAGTGTATCTTGACTACCATGTTAGCCAAAAGTTATGAGAATTCTGTTATTCCCAAATTATTGAGTTGTCGGAAAAGTCATGATGTATTTTTTCTACGTTTTTTTTGTTGCAAAAATGCATCATGACTTTTCCGACAACCCAATACTTACAGTGCTGGAGAATTTATACATCATCTTCTTCTTTTCTTGATTATTGGTTCATCACACAGGACTCAAATTCTCTTTACCCTCCCTCCACATTGATACATTTCCTAATTATTTGAACAAAGTTGGTCTTTTTTGTATGAAATTTATTTGCCTGGTGTCCAGACGAACAAGTCCAAACGCTGAGTATCCATTGACAAACATCCTGAGATATGAGCTGCTTGGCGTGTGCAAAGATAGCTGCGTCTAATTAAAAACAGGAGCATAGATTATAAATACTCTCCTTATCGAGTTGAAAATATTTCCTATACAGTTACTTCCCCACATTGTTAAGATTCTCCTTCACGGTTAAGACTCTCAGGCTTCCAAGGAAAAGAGGAAACCCTCCGGCTGTGGTCTGTGGTCCGAGGGCCATCCACACCGGTCTTTGATATGCAGGGTCAATGTCCTGTGCTGCCCCAGAGGAAGAGCGGGGCCAGGGGACCAGCCCACTGAGGAAGACTCGTGCTCCCCCATCAAGACTCACTGTCCTGCCTCTCCACTCCCCTGCAGAATGCCAATCAACAGAAATATCCAGGCAGACACTTCTTAAGGGCTGCCTTTTAATCCCTCTGACAAAAATGTGTTTCCTGTGAATGCATAATCAG